CTAACAAGGCGCTCTTCCTAATGGCAATTGAAGCGCCCACATCAGCGTCAGCAGCGGCGCCTAACCGCAACTAAATGGCAACTAAGCGGCAATTGGAGAGTTTCTTAACCTTTTTGAATTTTTATTTGTATTTTCTTGGGTTTTTTTTCGTGCACTTATACCGTAATAATTTGGTATCTTAGTGCCCATGTGTGTGTGCGTTCGTTTGTTTGTTAGTTTTTCGCCCCCTTGAGTACACTTGATGATTTTTTAATAAGCAGCTTTTTAGGTGTTTGCCTTCATTTCATTAAAAAGAGAATCCACAATTTTGCTGAAGTAGCAAATAATTGAAAATTTTGTGCCATAAACTAATTACATATTCATTCATATACGAGTATAATGCAACGCATTAGTGCTGCATATAGCTGCGACTTGTACAATATATTGAAAATTTAACTAAATTAATTTACTTAACTTCGGTTGCGGCTACTGATAACCTACATCACATTTGCAATTCTAAAAATAATTTTCAAAAACAATTTGCACATAGGAGTGTGCGTCTCTACAAATGTGTGTATGTGTATTTTGTAAAAAAAAACATTTACATATTTATTAATAAACCAATATGTTTCGCTCCTAAATATATGCATGTGCGTATGTACATATAGATTTTGATATATATTATTAACTTAATAACAATTTTAATCAACTTGTCCATATATGTACATATGTACATAATAAGTTGCACATACGTGAATGTTACACACTCTAACAGCCACTACGTATTGACATACAAACATGCGAGTTTATGTTTTATGGAAAATATTTAATATAAACACCTAAAATTGATACGGACATACGTACGTCACACGCGCGCAAAGCCAGCTAAATATTTTCATGTGCATGTATGAGTATGTGGGTATGTCAGTGTTCTTCGTAAACATGTTTTGTTGTTGCGAAAGCATCGTTTAATCAACCTAGACAAAATTCAAAATTGTTTACACTTTTGTGGCGAAAATATCATCAAAGTTAAAGTGATCCAGTGCATTGGAGTGTTTCATATTTCCATATTAACCAAGTTGAGTTTTATGTACTTCTTATCAGATTGATTGTAATGGAAAAAAATTCAAATTATATTATTTTTATTGTTATTAAAATTTATTTCAATTAATTTATTAATTTATTTTACTTATGAAGTTTAATGGAAATTCGTCTTAATTTTATTTTTGCGAATAAAAAATATTTTTTTGGTATTCCACTGCGTATACGTAACCTAATTAATTTTATCTATTAAATTTAGTATACGTTTAATATTTTGACAAAAAAAGTGTATTATGCTAACTTAATATACTTAATTTAATTTTTTAGTATTTTAGTATGACACTGCGTATACGTAATTAAATTGATTTTACTTATGATGTAGTAGACTTGGTTGGAAAAATCGACTTTTTCGAAAGTACTTTATATTAAGAATGTACTGTAAATTTTATAAAGAAATTCGAAATATTTATGGAGTTAAAGTGTCTCGTAGAAGTATATGCTGCGCCGCAAAGTAGCTTCAAACGGTTTGCCTTCACAAGGATATTAAGCCCCTCATTTTCAGCCAAGGGGATAGCCAAGGTTTTCGGATGAGTGCTACATATTTTTGTGTAATAATTTCAATCTCTTCTATGTTTGTAGGTATATTTAGATCTCTATGGGTATTTTCATTACACCTGTACCATGGTGTGTCCGTTATTATTCTCAATTTTTTCGATTGAAATCTTTGTATTATATTTAGATTTGCCGCGCAAGCTGTGCCCCATAACCGGATTCCATCCGGAAGAGCTTTGTCTCAAAGCTGGGCGCAGATTTCTTGCTCAAAAGTCAATACAAACTAAAATTTTAAGTTTAATCTGCATATTTTTGGCGAAAATGTGTCGCTTTCAAATAAATCGTCTAACCAAGTGAATACCTAGCTATGTGATTTAGTTAGTGTCTGGGATAGGCACATTATTGTGCTGACAATTGAATATGTTATTCTACTCGCAGCTCTTGCAGAAAATGATATTTTCTTATCGCTAACTTTTCACATTTCAGCCCGATTTATATTTTCTTTCGAGGTTAAATATTTTTATAAACGTATTTTTTTTATTCCTATTTCAAGCCAGAAAAGCAAGCGTATAGAAAAATCCTTTGATTTTTCTGTTTGAGATGTTCTCAAGCGACCAAATCAATGGTGGCAGCCAATTGTTTTTTAGACGCTCATTTCAGTGCTGCGAAACAACTAATTAAAAAAAGGCACAAATAGTTTTTTGTACACTCTGAGATACTATTAATGAGATATTACCAAATGAAATTGATTTAATTTAATTTTTCATATAAGTAATTAAATATTTCCAAAAAAGCGTCGAAAAGAATGCATGTTGACAGACTACTATTAACACCTAAATTTACCACAAATTCAATTTTTTGTTGAAAAAAACGTGTATTTATATGAGACTGAGCTTAGCGGGACGTTTTTACTCTTTTATCGCAAAAAATTGTGTGAGTACGGCACTGCGTATACGTTACATACTTACTTTTACCTATAGAATTTAGTTAAAAGTTTTTTGTAACATTTTTGCCTTAAAGAAAGTTCTGTAAGTCTGCAGCGTAACAGCAATAATTTTACCTGTAACATTTAGTATCTTTATATATGAATAACTTGCCATTAAAAGGGGTAGTGAGCATATTGAGGAGTATAAACCTAATGTCCATAATTATATGAAAACCAGGTGGAATATAACAGGTCCGCTGTATAGGGCATCATTCAAATATTTATTAGTTAGAAGAAAAAAATCCGTAAATTAGCGAGAAATCGCTCTGAGTTCAGTTAAGCTTGCAAAAGCAGCTGATGACTTCATAAGAAGATCATTTCCGCATGAGACGAAACCTGAAAGAACGTTATCGAAGCTTTCTATGCCACCTTCCATCCTAAAGAATTTTGGTAAAAAACACTGGTCAAAATGCCTGTTACCTCAATCATCTCACAAAAAAACAAAAATATCCACTCAATTATCGAAGTTAAAGGGTATTCCAATAAGAGTTGTTATTTTGAATAGCCTGCTATTTCGGTAGATGGCACATTGAAAGTTGTATTTTCTTTACATTTGACAAGTAAAAACTACGTCAGTAATATAAATGGAACGATAAACGTTTCAACAGCGCATTGAAATTATTAAAATTCGCTATAAAAATGTTTTTCGGTCGTTGTGAAGCACCTTATCGCACGGTAACATGGAAATTGATTTTGGAATAAGTAAGTGATGTGAAAAATAAAGCCGTTCTTTGGAATTGACCATTCCACGAAGGTCATTGCACCATCTTTTGCATAAAAACTTGGGTCTTCAGGCTTATTTAGTTCAGTTAACCTAAAAACTTAACTCGGTCAATCATCAATAACGTTGTTTCTTTGCTGATCGGGTCTTTGAAATGCATGCAAATGATCCAGAATTTCATCGAAAAATCATATTGGCCATGATTACCTTAATAAGAAAAACTATCGCCTCTGGAGATTGGAAAACCCTGGATTCATTGTTGAAAAGTCTCTGCATTGGTTTATGGTTCGGCGGGGTCATTGGACCTTTCCTTTCGAAAATGCGACTGGAGCAACATTTACGCTGCAACGATTACATTGGAAGGAATGTTTAACGATTTTTATGGTCAGATTTGAATGATATTGATCTGGACAATGCTTACTTTCACGAAGATGGCGCTATATGCCACACAAGCAACGACCCACCGAGATCTTGTAATTTAACACATCCTACCTTTGGGACCATGAGAAAGATAAGGTCTATGCCAGCAAGCCGACGTCCATTTAAGACCTTAAAGATGAAATTTGTGAAGCTATTGACGACATCAGCAACCAATTTCCGATTTGATGAGAACAAGTTTACGGTATTGAAGCATTTCGCTGATATTGTTTTCCATTATTATTTTTCATTGGTATAAATGATCGGATGTTATCTCAGAAAACGCCATTTTTTTTTAAATTCAAAATAACACCTCTATTTGGAAATTCTTATACTCGTGATCTACTTTGAGCTCACTTGTATTGGTTTCTCTCCGCCTTTAAAAGTGGTGTGATCAAAAATTCTATGGGATCCTGTTTAAGGAAGACGTCTGAATGTCGAAATATATTTCCCATAGAACTTCACCAAATGATTGATCCTGAAGCGCCTTAAATTTCATTCACAGAATATGGCAAGAAGAATAGAAGTTTAAATTTAATTTACCTAATGGCAAATTGGCGTCAGAGTAATGAACTTCATCAGAAGTTCTGACCACGTGGAAGCGATGATTGAGTTCATCTCTCCGAGGGCAGTTTTAATCGCTATTTTTCCATCATTTTTGTCTAAAATTACTGTCATTAATCATCAGCTGGAACACCTGAGCATAGAGTAGCAAATTTTCGAAAGTATAGAATTACCAATGTGACGTCACGCTTACACTTGAGTGGACACACTTATTTCCACATCAGTAAAAAAAAAACATATATATATATATTGTATATATATGTTTTCGCTTTTCAACGCCTATATTTTGTAAATTTCAAATTTATTTTAAGAATACTTACCAGTTCCATAGTGAAGTTGTACTCCTCCACTGGACGCCAGCAATTTGTTTTATTTTTACACATTCCTCAACGTCACATGCTCATTATTTACTCTATTGCAGGCGGCGCATATGGTACTTTTCCCAAAGTGTGGACCAAATTATTTTTTGCTAATTTCACCTACACACATCTACAGGCATATAGAAGTAGTTATTTGCACACCAGTATGCAGATAAAGCATTTTGTCGCCGCAATTTAGGGAGACCGGCTATTATGTTTGCTAATTGAATATTTCATGTCAGTGTCCGAGGGGAAATTGTATGAATATACAGTTAATTGCAACAATGACCACAACTTAATTAATATCGTCAGCATGCTAATCATTTGTTTAATAATAATTTCATCACTAATTTTTTCTTATTTCCTCTTCTTCTCTTTACAGAATTTTTGTGAACCGATCATTGCACTTGGAGAATATAAAATTCTATGGCTTCGATATGGACTACACTTTGGCGGGTAAGTGTTTGCCGTTGTCGCCGTTCTAATTAGCTATTAATTGCATGTGGAATGTTCACATCTCACTGATGTCAGCATTACGAGCTCCTAAATAGATTACTCTTGAGCTAAAATAATAATATAATTATTTATTATGTTGTTCCTTGACGGCGTAAAGAAGTGGTTCGTAGTGATCCACAATTAGATGTGGGCTAATGTCTACATTAAGTCTCAAAACGGGGTGAAATTCTTCTTCCTTTCCTTGAAATTAGTGCCAGGTATTTAGATGAGGCGGTGAACTATTCTCCCGGTGAAAGGTCATGATGAGGTACTAGAGATGATGATTGTGCATTCCTTCTTCGGAAAGTAGTAGCAAGAATATATATCGCTAGCTTTAAGACTCGTACAAAAACGAACTTGTGCAATTAATTAAAAACGAACGTCTTCTTCTCTGCTTGTGCAATACATTCCTTTGCCTATTTAGGTCGTGAACAAAATTCTTAAACCTTCTTAAGCGAAGTTCTATCAGATATTGAGACCAAGAGCAGATAGGCCCTTCTGGGCTTTGTCCTTCCATATTGGTCGGGGGCGCTCTGGCTCTCGAACAATGCGAACAACATTTCCAAGTAAGCGCAGCGATCGTATATTCGCTTGTAGCTCCATCTTTTTCTATAATCTTCCCTTACACGAACAGGTCGATAGTCTCATCATTGTTCGCCAACGCACACGTTTCTGATGCTGAAACCTATGATCTTTAGAACTTCGAGGTTATAGCTGCCAAGAGTAATGTAGGTCATAATACACAGAGAATTTTTGTTTATTGTCAGCAGATACTTGGGTTTTTCCTCCTTCCTAATGGCTCTGATGTTGCATCGCGTCTTTAATGGATATGGTGCTGTAGTGATTCAATACGGTGGCAGCGCGTAATAATAATAAGCCCAACGAATAGCCTTCAACCACCCAACCGACACGAGATGAGACATCCGCATCAATTCGTAATTTGTTTTACGTGGCTTTAATAGTAAAAGCCTAAGCTGCCTAGATACAAGAATGGGAACATCAAAGTTTACCTCATATAAGAGCCAAGAACTACAAATTGATCCATTAAGAAGTTTCACGAACAATGCGCGCAACATTTCTCTACGACTTGCGAGAGTAGATAAATTTAGGAGTTTTATACTCTCCATCATCAAAGAGCCCGCATGATAAAGAATCATCTTGTCTAAAACCTTACTGAAGGTTGAGCTTAACGTCATTCACAACCGTTTGAGTTTTTCGGGAATCCCAAATTTAGGCATGGCAGCATCGTTTCGTGCTATAAAAGGCGCGTTAAAATCGACGATTAGATTATCCAAGGCCTTCCATAATTTTACTAACTGTAAAAATTTGATCGTTGAGGGACTTATCACGTCTGAAGCCACACTAATAAGGCCCAACCAGGATCTTTTATGCGGCAATAAGAACGGTAGTGGCCTCAGATAGCAGGATCTCACTTCTTACGGATTGGACAAAGTACCCTAAGATTCTAATCTTCGGAAATAAATTCAAAAGAACAAATTGAGTTGAAATATTTCTTGTACCAATATAGTAGGTCCTGCTCCACCTGGTCTTTCTACCGGTATTGAGGTCATTCTCTTGCTCTAATTGCTCGAAAACTTTCCAAACTGGAGGTAAAAAGGGGAGGAAAAGGTGAATTTTGACTTTTCGCCAATTTGGATTAGTAGTTTGTTGGTGACAAGTGAAAAGGTAGTCAGGTTTTGTGTATTCTCTATCGCATAGCTCATCGTTCCGTCGGCTGCGGTGTTCCCAATTCGTACAGAACCATACATTTTACGCAAAATCGTTCTCTCGAAAGCTTGTAACGTCGACTCACCAGATGTTTTCATCGTCTATGTCGACAGGCTTTTGCTTTTTAATCGACAAAGATGAGGTGTATATTGATAATTTTTCACGGGTCTTTTGGAAAAGACCAATCAGCTTGTTGACGGTGGAATTTAGTCTTTGGCACAATACACTCGATACAACCTTTTATGAGATATTAAAAAAGCACAGTCTATGGAATCGCCTATTTTGGATATTGAACAGAGCACACTAAGGTTCCAGTCGTCGAGCATGTTTTATCCTTCACTCTGTCAACTCTTCACCGCCGTATTGAAATAGTTCCGCTGGCTAGCCATCGGTTCCGCCGCTTTGCTATTTTTCAAGCGAGCGATTGCAATTTAAACTTCTTAATTGTCTGGTAATGAGACATCTGACGATGGAATAATCAAGTGGGGAATCGGATTTGCCTTGTCTTAGAGTTCCATTTTCACTGTCATTCAGCAGGCTGGAGAAGTTTTCCCTCCACAAACGTATACTGAATTCCTCTAATGTTCTCGCCTTCAGCTCCCTCTCTGGGTCCATCAAGAGTCTGCTTCGGTCTTAAAACCTTCTGTAAATCGTCGCATAGTTCTTTTTAGTCTGTATATGCGTTTTGCTCCCTTTTTTATTTCTTCTATTAACTTCTCTTGAGAAAATTTATATCCCAGTTTCCCTTCAAGTACTTTTCTTTCATCCACAAACTCCGCACACTCAAGCCATTAGTTTAAGCCTTTCGTGGCAGCTAGGGTAGGTTTGGCACTACGGGCTATACAGGGTTCTCCATCTTCAGAAAAACGTCTAGTATCAAAAAGAGGGGACATTGACTGGCCACCCAGTTCACCGGATTTAACCTGCCCGGGACTTTTCGTGAGGTTATCTGAAAAGCAAGATTCACTCAAACTAACCTCAAAGTATTGACGAGCTCAAAGCAAACATTCGTGCTGAAATCAACGCTATAACACCCGAGATGCTCAAAAACTAGTCCAAAAAAATTGTAAGAAACCACAGTGAATAAAAACACATCACTTATAGAAATCGCTTGTTTTTTCTCAAAGTTATTCAGTGTTTACATACGGCTAAAAAAAAGGATCAAACATACTAGAAATAGCCATGACCGTTGACACTGTGATCACTTCACACCCACATTTTGGGCATGCGTTACGAGAGGGTATCTCCGAAGGCCTCTCTGCGAATCGTTCGATGATCCCTAGAAGCATTTTTCCTGGTTACCTTGATCTTTGTACAAATAAAGATGACGTCAAGGTCTTTTGCTTAGGGAGTAGCATGGAAACTCTTTCGTTAAGAAAAATCACCTTCTCAAATCTTGGAGACCCCTTATAATAATAATAATTAAGTCAAGCATCCTATCCCCTTAAGGAAAAAGAAAACTCTTGTCTTTTAGGCAACCAAAGCACTTGAGAAGCTTCTTTTCAAGCAGAAAATACATTATGTATGTCGGGGTCGAGTCTGGGTGGAGAGGAATTAACTTTTGTACACTATCCTGACTTTAACTGTGCCAGTACGACTGCTCGAGCTCTTCCTCTTGTATGGATGATAATCCTAGACATTGGATTATTAACAGTCGGAATTTTTACGTAACCGACTTTGAAGCTCATTTAGGGCAGGTACTCTGTCTTATATCTGGGGAAGTGGGTAGCCTTGGGAGATGTTGGAGGAATAACAGCTTATCAGTGTACATATGTCCATGTCAATATCGAGTAGTGTCATATGAAACGAAGGAAACACCATACTGTGATGGAGGGTGCTTCTAGAAATTAATCAACAGCGAAGAGAGGACATCAACTGAGTTTAGAGGAGTGACCTCCAAATTCTATCAAACACTCAGGCAATTCATGGTTCACCTCTTTAACAGCGACAGTAATGAAGAGCCCTCAATATCGATAGTAGCACTAGAATTTTTTTGACAAGTGCAGTGCTACCAGAACAGTTAGAGTCGAATTTGGTTAAAGCCGTGAGTTATCCAGGTGCTAATGACGGTATGACGTTGGGCTGCTGGATCCAGGCGGTTTAATTTTTTTTCTGTATAACACATTTATTTTTAAATCCCAGACATTTTCATAAAGAAAATTGGCAACGTTGCAGAGACAAAAACCCAATTTAAGTTTTTTGGATACTGAATAGAGGCCTCAGAGCGAAAAAGAAACTGGAAAAGGCGGCTTCTTCCTGTCGGAAATATGCCAAATGTTTGCCAAACGATAGCTGAGTCAAAATTTTAGTATTAAATTTTTACAAAATTAAACAGAAATATTGGCTTCTTTTAAGCGAAATAACTGTTTTTTTTTTTATTTTCATCATTTTCCACATTTTCCGCTCTCTTCGTTTCTTTCAGAATACAAATCGCCACAATACGAACAACTTGGTTTCGATTTAGCTAAAGAGTGTCTTGTCAATGACGGTTATCCCAAAGAGATTTTACAATTCGAATATGATCCCTCATTCCCGGTACGTGGCCTCTGGTTCGATACACTCTATGGCAATCTTCTGAAAGTGGATGCCTACGGCAATATACTGGTGTGTGTGCGCGGTTTCGAATTTCTCAAACAGTAAGTGAAAGTGCATAGACGTGTGATTGAAATATACTTGAATATTCAAAAATTAAATAAAACATTAAATTTCAACACAATTTTCTATCATTTTTAGCCATCAAGTGTACGAGTTATATCCGAATAAATTTCTAAAACTGGATGAGAAGCGCGTATATGTGTTGAATACATTATTCAATTTGCCTGAAACATATTTGTTGGCGTGTCTAGTGGATTTCTTCACGAACAGCACGGAGTATATAAGGTGAGTTTTAATACGATTAAATAAAAAAATAATATTTATTTAAATATTTAAATATTATATAAAAGTATTTTAAACTTTTTTTCTTAAACTTCTACTTTTTGCGAATTTAAGTCAAATTTTGATAATTAAAATTTAATCATTTAAAATGAAAGCTGAGTGAAATGAGTGGCATGCAAAATAATTTCATTCACTTCCGGCAGTTTTCGAATTTAATCTCTTTTAAATGTGCTGCGCTTATAATAATAAATTTCAATGAAGTTTCATAACTCAACGGCTGCTGGCAATTACGCACAACTGTTGATTTTTCAAATTGACGAGAGAGAGTGTCATTGCCAAAATATACCGTTAGATTATATAAATACAGAGTTAGTAATTTTGCTGTTTCGAAAATAAACGTAAATATATAAAATGCATTGAAAATCATATTTTTTGTAAATTTTTTATTTTATTATAAAGTTTGGGCTTCGGCATTATATGCGAAACATTAAATTAGCCAAACTTTAATCCCTTTGCGGTAATTTTCGACCACTTTCTTGCGCAAATTTCGCGGTATCTCAGTCAAAACTTGACTAATGTTGGTTTTCAAGTGCTCAACAGTTAAAGGTTTATACGAATAAACAAGTTCCTTAGGGCAGCCCCTCAAAATAAAAGTCCAGCGGTGGCCACTTTGCATCACCAAGACGAGAGATTGCAGGGCTGGGAAATTTCTGTTGCAATAAAGCCAAATTCGCTTGTGCTGTGTGACATGTATCACCATCTTGTTGAAACCACACATCGTCCAAGTCGCGTTCTTCAATTGCAGACTTAAAAAAAATTCGTTTATCAAACGACTATAGCGCTCCGAATCGACAGTGACAGTCTGGGCGTTGTTCTCTTCAAAGAAGTCAGATTTCCCAACCAGCGCAACAGACTATCCATTTTTTTTTTTTTTGTGTACTATGGCCTCTTGGCTATCTTTTGAGTATTCTCGGAGCCCAAAATGTGACAATTTTGCTTATTTACGTATCCCTTGAATGAGAAATGTGCGCTGAAGAAACATTTGTTCGAAAAATTGCCGTTCAATGCTTGTTGTTCAAGCAGCCAATCAACAGACGTACGGCGTTGTCATCTAACCGATCCAGTCTCTTCAAATTTCTTTAAAACCTTACCACTTGCTTCAGTAATTGGACGATTATATGCACCATAATCCCCTCTTAAAGCGCGAAACTTGACTACAAGGCTTTTGGAATCAGCATTTTTGTTGTAGTTTTTAACAATTTTAACGCGTTCGGTGGGTATTAAGGAAACCATTTGCAAAAATGCCCGACTTTTAACTAAAACAAAACATGTTTGATGCCTTTTCAGCTCATAATTCTGTTGAATTGTTTTTGGGTTTTAGTTTTACCGAACTGTATCAGACCATATGTTTTTTTGGAAATAGTAAAAAAATTACAACAACAATTTTAGACGTTATATAAGTCATAGCTGCTATTTCGGAAACCACAACGTTTCATCATCAGACTTCTTTTTTCAGACACCTTTGCTCGAGTTGGATTCCAACTTGGGATGCCCACAGCATGAGGAAATGGTTATCGCAATACTAAACCAAGTTTCGTGTGACAATTAAGGGTATCCTCGCCTGATTTTTGATCAAAAAATCGATTTTTTATGCAAAAAATTAAGGCTATATATTTGTTGGATATGTATTTCAAGGGATTTTGTTATACGATATTTTTCAAATGACAGCTTCTCGAACACATCTGTCTCATGCACGCTGTGAGCTTTCAAAAAATTTTGAACGCGTTTTTCTCGAACCATGTTTTCTGTTCTAACTTAAAGTCCCGGGCTTGTTCTATCCGTTCGATTCCTTTTTTCTAGAAACTGTTTCAAAGCTTAACATTTTTTGTGCGTCTTCAACTTAAGATTAGCATTTATAATTAATTATTTATATATTTTTAACGTAATTGAAGTGAAAAAAGTAGCAAAAAATTTAACTTTATAATTGCAATAAGCATTTATGCAATAGGTTTATAGTTAAAATTGTTTCGACTGAAGTTCAGGACGTAGAAAATTTCATGGTCTTCAAACAATGACAACGATTTTTGAATTCAGTCTGCTGCAAGAGGCTGTAGACTAGAGTTGTTGGGCCATGTTTTTTGCGCAGAGGCCGACGGAAAGCGCCAACCGGAAGTTCGTACGCCTTTCCATTCTTCCACAAAAAATACAAACTGCCTGATTTTTGCCCAATATCAGGGCAGGGTCCCCTTAAGTGTGACAAGTGTCCAAATACAGCCCTCGAAATGGATGACCCTATATATTTTTGTGACATTCACTGCGATTAGAGTTGAAGAGCATAGTTATAAAGCAGGAAAATATGAAAATTTTTAATTATAAAAAAGAATTTATAGAAGGCAGGAGAGAAGAAAAAATATAAATTAATGAAATACTAACGTTTGAGTATTTTTAAAAAATTATCAAATTCATCTATCATTCCATATTTTCGTAATATCACCTCATCATACAATATTTTATATAACTCTCATGTATGTATATGAAATGGTATATTAACTTTGCTCCGAAGTATGTACATACCCGAAGGAAAAGAGCTACCGACTGTGTCAGAATGAGGAGCTGAGTTGAGTTAGCCAAGTTCGTCGTAATTTTTACATTTAAATGATCTTTTGTCGGAACCAGCCAGATCAAAGCGTTATGAGATATATATACGAGTACAGCCTTTCTGGCACACGCAGCAGAAATAATCCGACGGACCAACGCCAGCCCTGATAAGAAGGCTTTGCAGCAGCCCAGCTGCGAGGTTACCTGTTGACCTAGACGGGGTTAGGTCGCCGAAAGGATGACAGCCCTTGGCCGGATAAAATCCGGGTCAACTCCGTTGCGTAGAACTGGCTGTCTTGAGAGTTGTAAGCAATTGGCCGTCCGGTCGTAAACTATGCTGCACCGTACAACAATAGCAACAACAACATATACGAGTACTGCCGCTTTTATAGATCTGACTAACGATTGTGCGCATTACCAATCCTTAGAGAAATCGCTAATTTTGTTTTTTAATCACCGAGGATGCTTATTGTTTTTTTCTTTTTTACCTGAGGGTCTTATGCACCTGAATCGGAGGTCTTCGTGTTCTGTGCATAGAAAACTTTCAAAGCTGGCGACTTTCGTCCATCTAGACAACTTGGCTGGACTATATTAATGTATATTTCGTACATCTTATTGGTCCAGCATCCACGGTTTTTGTCGTTTTCCATAATAAGACATCAATAAATCGTTCGCAAAACCGCTCTCACGAAAACTTCTAACGCCGACTCATCCAAAGCTACACTTGCTGGTGAGAGTGAATATGCGCTTAATTTTAAGGTCGGGAATTGTCGGTGGGTATGCTGGTTCCCAGATAGATCTAAAAGCCAAAACGCAAGTGCCCCGTGTGTTTGTTTGATGACACCATATATGACGTCTTGTCCTCGTTTACTACCAGACCCATTCACTACACTTGAAGAAGTCTTATGACAAAGAGTAACACGGTCTGAAACCTTGTTTAGTATCAAATAAGGGTGGGGTTCTTCTCTTCGTCAGTTTACATAGTCGTTAAAGTTTTCGGGCCCCACGAAATTCAAACAATTTGTCGTAGCAGCTCCTTTTCGTGCTGTCGAAGGCAGCTTTACACAAAACAATTGATATGATCTTGTATGCGAGATTGAAGAGATATGTCCCATGATGATTGACTTAAACTGTCGGAACTTCTTTATAATAACTTTTCAAACCTTATTTCTTTTTCAATCCTTAAATCTTTGCTCGTTCTATCAAATTTTGCTTAGACTTTGGAAGTTTTCTGGAAAATCGTTTAATTAACTCAGCTGAAAGATCATTACTTCCCACCGCTTAGTTGTCCTTTAAAGGAGGAATTGCGATTTGATTTTGAATTTAATCACAGTCGAGGTATGGAAGCTATGTATTTATCTATAATCCTCCTAGTCTGTGGAATCGAGCTCGCCACCTTTTAGTGTTTCATTGCAAATAAGTGGAATGGAAAAGTGCTCCCTCCAAAAACTCATAATGCTTTGAAGATAGTTCTTCAAATCACTCCTTTGATACCAACATAAGTATGTCGAGAACTTTAAGCTCTCTGTGAATTGTCTCATCTTATCACTGAATATTCAGTCATTATCCCTGTCGGCGAACTTTTCAAAATCTTCTAGCTCACACATTTCGTCCTATGCATCTAGCTTCCCTCTTCAGCTTTCGGAATCTCTCCCACATTGCAGGTCAATCGCAGTGTTGCAAAAAAGACTGCCTTTTTCTCTCCACTTTCATCTGTGGTCAAATGTTCAACCCCACGACTGCAACAAAGCAAGCAAACCATTTACAATCTCAATCAAATTACAGAATTCGGATATGTCCTGAATGTTCTATAACGGCTAAAGGCTAAGTGGTTGCCAGCAGCAAATACAAATGAAATGTCCAACGCTACAAGGGTCGTTGACAAAAATTCCCTTACAGATTTAAAAGAAGTGAATTCTAGTTCTGCCTGAGTTATGGATTAGAGAAGAACACTTGGAATTTTTTCTGAAACACAGGGACTTGACAACGAGGAATAGAAAGAACGTCCAAGATAATCAGATAGTACTCTGCAGAGCCCCGCTGGGCGCGTCACAAACAGAGATGCAATGAAAACCTTTCTCAACATTTTTTGCTGTGATTGACGTTGTGGGAACCCTACTGTAGGCAATGGCCCTCGAGCTATCCCCTGGCACTCGTGCAATACTATCACAATCGGGATATTGTGGTATACTACACTTCTACTTTTAGCACCATAGCTCTCACGGTATGTGCTCTCGCCCTGAGCTTGTTTTTCTCGCGCAAGCCCTACCTCCATATTTTCATCACTCAAAGCGACTCCGCTCGACATTAACTACCTTTTAGAAGGTCTTATCTTTGAAACGCATCCGTCGAAACAGCTCGTTACACTGACCTTTTATTAGATGAACTCTGCCACATCCCCTTCCTTTGCCTGCTCCTGAAAGCAGTTAGCGAGTTACTCTATCAAAGGAAGATGAAACTTTCAGCCTCCTGAAGGACTCACAAGTATAAAATCCTCTTTATTCGTAGCCAATGCCACCTGCTGCGAGTAAGTTCAATCGCATATCTCATGCTCTTCCTTCCACTGATTTCGCAATGCAAGAAAAAAATGCAATAAAAAATTGGAATCAGTTTGGCGAACAGAAAGTGACGACAATTTATTTATTCTACCAACTTGCAAAGCCATTAAATCAGCGACGTTGAATGGGAAAAATGGCAATTTGCCCGATTGGCGGATGGAGCTCTCTGAAAGTGCAGTAAATGTTTCGCTAATTGAATATATAAATATTTTTAGCTGCGCCAATATCATTGGAGCTCTTAACAGGGATTTCCTTTTTAAGCTTCTTTTTAATTTTTCAAACAAACATTTCTCTTATTTTCTTTCAGCGAAAAAACCGGCGTTAAGGCGGGCGAGCTCTTTATGTCCTTCAAATCCATATTCCAGGATGTGCGACGAGCCATTGATTTTGTGCACATAAAGGGTAACCTAAAACAGAAGACAATCGAGGTACGTCTATTTTTTCATATTTCTTAAAGAAAAAATCTCTGAAAATTTCCTTTTCCCACACAGAACTTGGACTACTACGTTAAGAAAGACCCACGCCTGCCCATGGTACTCTCACGCATACGCGAATCCGGCGCCAAAGTCTTCTTGCTCACCAACAGCGAATACAAATACACCAATATCTTGATGTCGTACCTGTTCGATTTCGAACATGGCGCGCGACCCGATGACCCACACCGCAACTGGAAGACGTACTTCGATGTGATTGTGGTGGATGCTGCGAAGCCACTCTTCTTCGGTGAGGGCACCATACTCCGACAAGTGGACACACAAACGGGCGCCTTGAAAATCGGCACACATATGGGTCCCCTGCAGCCGGGTAAAGTCTACTCGGGTGGCTCTTGTGAAGTTTTCACCAACTTCATCAACGCCAAAGGCAAAGATGTGCTGTACGTGGGCGACCACATATTCGGTGATATTTTGAAATCGAAGAAGATACGTGGTTGGCGTACATTCCTCATTGTGCCCGAGTTGGTGCAAGAATTGCATGTGTGGACGGACAAGTGTCAGTATTTTGCAGAATTGCAGCATTTGGATGTTATGCTGGGTGATATGTATAAGTAAGTACGGCAGACAACATGTAATCTGTAAGAGCTAAGAAATTTTAACTTTAAATCCCTTGCAGAAATCTCGACTCGAGCGCCAAAGAAAAACCGGATATCTCAAAACTGCGCTCTAGCATACGTGATGTTACCCATAAAATGGACATGGCTTATGGCATGATGGGCTCACTCTTCCGGTCCGGTTCTCGGCAAACATTCTTTTCAAGTCAAGTGTCTCGCTACGCTGACTTGTATGCAGCAACTTTTCTCAACCTGTACTATTATCCCTTCTCGTACATGTTCCGTGCACCGGCTATGTTGCTGCCGCACGAATCTACCGTCACACATGAACAACGTTTCCACATGGAGACACCGTCTATTCAGCGTTCACGCAGCAAGAATGAAAGTGTTGATGGTGCATTGAGTACGATTTCATCGCCAACTGAGAAGGCGCAGGAAGCCATAGCAAGCATTGAGCGCACCGAGGGCAATGAGGAGGAAATTAAAAAGCTAACCGAGGAGATTAAGGTAAGAGGCTAAAGGTATTCTATTCTTACTTTTTTGCCGTTAGCCGCAGTCAACTAGTGTCGCTGGTGCTCGAGCATTTCTTTAGTATCCCAACTCTCACGGCAAGCGTAGGTCGACATAGCTAGGTGAGTCTCTCATGCACTTGGTGCGAATAACCAGCTGCTTATAGTGTACTACCTTCTCTATTTGGCTTGGTTCATGACATATTTTCGTAAGACGGCATCCATCGTCATTTGCGAATCTGTATTTGTCATCAATTGCAAGGGCTTAAATACACAAAATTCAACAACTAACAACTCATAATTACTGGATGTGACATTCCACGGTCTGTGCTGTTCTTATTGTTGTTGCAAACGCAAAAATATCTCTCAAACTGTTTTTGAAGAATGTTGTGGGTACGACGATCCTTGGACAACTAAAAATCCGGATCCTTCTGACAGGCGGCAGACATGCCTTACTTACCGCCCAGCGATTGTTATCCATATGCCGAGTCGCAACATAAGAGCGAGAATCAACTGATTCCATCTCAACTCGGACATCTAGTCAGACGCAGGTAAAGAAGCTGCAGACCTGGAAGAACACCGTCCTGAAAACCATGACGGGAAACCTCAACAATAACAACGCAAACATTTTTCTTGGCCCTCTTCTCATGAGTCCAGCCAACACCAATTGCACAAGAGTAGTTCGAGCTGCTCCGTGAGTCCTGAGTAACCCCAGGAAAATTAAGATCTGGAGATAACAGTAGAGTAAACTTGTATCTATCCAGACTCGATTTCAACATTTGCAGCCTCTGTTCCTCATCCATTGTTTCCCTGTAAGACACCAACTTTTCTACTTCAGTCCACAATTGTCGAAACTGCTCGTTGCCTGGGCTTTTCATTGGAAAACCTTGATTAGCTATCCTTTTTCGGGTGTCCCGAATCACTGCAACACCAGCAACAAGTCTAGCAGCTGCCCAACTCATTCAACACGCCCCTCTTTTGGTACAAACTCTTTGAAAAAATTTGTTTCTGTAGGTTTGCATTATAGAACCTTGATTAACTTTACATATTCCGCCAGAATAACAAGGAATAACAACAAATTCACTAGTAGGCCGTTACCCAAAGACTGAAAACGATCCTCTTCCACAAAAAGTTATCTAACGTCTATGTGAATGACATTCTTATACAATGGAGTCCAGAGTTCGAGCATATTCTGATCATAACGTTAAAACGTTAAATGCCTTGAAAGGCCATCTCAGACGGCAAAACAGTCAGCTCAGTTGCAGGGGCTTCCTCTGTCTTGGAAAAGTGGAGAAGATGAAGTGTGGTCGCAGTATATAAACTCACATCTCTCTCTGTCCTCACACTCACGGTTCTCTTTACACTGTCGCACGACAATTGGATTTAAGTTGTTTTTCTTGTTATTATAACAGCTCACTAGTTCCGCTTAGGAGCCGGCAAGGCCATCATCGTGGTCATCATGGTCGCCTAATAAGAGGTTCATAAAAAGAGCTGTTTCGACGGCTTCGGACCAGAGTGAAAGAGGGGCTAGATGAGTTGTTTTTAAGGGGGATTGTAAAGAGTTGTTGAGGTGGTTAGTGTCATGCGAGCACTCATTATATGCAGGACATAGGTATGTTAGGTATGTCGGAGTCAAGTGTGGAAAGATAGGAATTTAGTCGGTTAATCCAGATCTCAAATGGGTTAGTATAATTCGAGTCTCTCGAGAAAGCTTAATCTCTTCGTCTGCAATGCGTGGTGGTTTGACACCGAGAACACATTTCAGTGGTCGAGAGTTCAGGATGGTGTGGGCGGACTGTCAGTGCATGGGGTATAATGCCTGAAGGTAGCCGACCTATTTAGCGGTTCTTGTAAGTAACACTGAATGCAGTACTTAAAGTCGAGTACTTCCTTCGTGATGTGTTTGTTGGAGTGCTCCCGACAGTAACAAAACTAGCAGATATTTCTTGCACTGGGCAGCATTATGCTCTTTAACTCGTAACTGCGCTGTGCAAGTGATGCTCTGACGACATCAGTAGGCTTCCGGCCACGGTACTGAGGGTGAGGTATTTGGCAGCCTCTGTGTCACGCAAGTCCCTGGCGTGCAGATCGAAGCAGCAGAGTTTACATTCGACCGGTCAATCGTCTGGTATGGTGCCCAAGTGCTGCCGGCTAACCCTTTGTATGCGGAACGTAGGAGTAAAGGCTGTGGAATGTGACTCCCACTGACTTCGACTTGTTTATACTCGCAATTTTTACGCCTTCGAGTTGGAGCTGGTACTCCTTCGCCCAGCTGCTGTACTTACGAATATTAGTCAACAATATCTTGGCCATGCACCAATATCGAGCAGCCATCGGCATTTGGGATTAGTGAGATCTCTTATGACACATCTATTGCTACCCGCACAGTTCGTGCATAAGGCCGGTTTTGATTGAAGCCATTATCTATCTGGAAGTTTAGGGCGTTAATTGCAGTTGTGGCGCTATGTACTTAGAGTAACCATGGCTTGACTCAGACCTTAAGATGCTTCGCTACTGGGCACAGCCTGTTCTATGCACTGGTCTCGAAGCAGATTTCATCCGGCCAGAGGTTGTTACTCTTTCAGCGACCTAACCTCATTTAGGTCAAAAGGTAACAATCTATTTAATCGTCTCTTACGGCAGACACGTATTTCCGTGAGTAAGCTCCTGAATACCTAACCCAGAGAGGTCTGCTAAGACTTGTCGATCCCTTAGCCAAGATTCCTCCAACTTTTCTACTAGATGACACTGGGCAATTTTCAGTGCCGCCAAGAATGAAGAAGGCTTCTGTAAAGTCTGTAAATGTTTTTCATGTAGGGGTGTCTCATATATGTACGTATCTATATGGTTTTAAACGATTTTTCCAAACCCTCCCAACCACTGGGGTATCTTTTTTCTTTCACTCTATTTGCCCATATTACTCTAAACTGATTTCCTTTCTTTATTATTTTTCAGTCCATGAATTCAGCGGCAGTTTCCTCCGCCAACTCCACAGTGCCACATACGCGTCCGCCAACACCACAAACAGTGACGCACACGCACGATGAGGACTACTCGGAGGAGGAATCGGAGCAATATCCCAAGTGCTCATGCCAGCAACAACAGCAGGATGACACCGACTAGGACTGGCAATGCCCAGCGATGGTAAAACATCGCTTCAGTAGCCAAAATTCGAGCGCCTCCGAATAGCAAAAGCAAAAAATAGAAATAAATAAGAAAAAAGAGAATGATGACGGATTCAGCACCAACAGAGGAGCATTTACCACGACTCGCTCCCTAAATTCGCCAGAGATTTTTCTGCAAAGCGACGATTTTATAAATGATTTTCCTTCTTATTCTGCTTTTTTACACACGCTGAGAATTTGTAATAATTTGTAAATGCTTATTTTTTTTTAGTGTATATAACTAATGTACCTTTGTTTAGTGTTGTACGCAATTTATTTTTGTTTTTTTTTTTCAATTATTTTATTATTATTTTGTTATAGAAAACCATAAACATACATATATAAATGAATAAAAGAAACGAACAGGAATTTAACAAATCCATAAAGCAATTTATTTTATACGATTTATTTTGTTAATTTTAAAAGGATGAAGGCAAAAAAGCCTCATATAATTTTTTTTATTTTTTTTATATTTTTTATATTTTTTATATTTTTTTAATTTATTAATTTTTTACGAATAAATATTTTTTTATATAATTCACGTTAAATGAATATTCTCTTTTAACCGCGGCCTGTATTTTATTTAATATGAAATCGTATAAATCATTCCGACCAATTGAAGAAAATAAAAACAAAAACAAAAACACCAACAACATTTTCCCTCACTACGCGCATCGATCTTCTACAAATAAAAGGCCTAAAAAATTTATATAAACAAAATATTTACACTACATACATACTTACACACATACATACATACATACATACATACATTCGCGTATAAGTATTTGTAGTTGAAAAATTATAGCCATAAAACGAATTTTCCAAACGCAAAAATAAACGAATTTTCATACCAAAACAAAGCAAAAACTATTTACGGGAAAAAGCAAAAACCCAAAAAGTAGAAGAAAAAATACAACAAATTAAATAAAATGAAATGAACAATCATAATGATTCTGTATTTATGCGTAGATTCGTTAATATGTACGAGTATTCAAAAAGAAGGCATGTGTATATTAAGCTGCTTACATACATACATATGTACTAATCATAAGAGTTTTCGGAAATGGAAATGTATATCCAATTGTATTTTCCACTTGCATATTTACAAATTATGAAGCCAAAAAAAAAATAAAAAAAACACAGAAAAATACTGTTACAATCAACCAAAAATATTTACCGCTATTTAGCCGATTTAATGAGTTACGCGTTCTTATGTGATATATTGTATAAATATTTCACACATATACATACATACATACACGTATATAAACACCCGTATAGGCATATTGATTGGAATATAATCGTAAGAAGAAATGTGAAAAAAAATAATAAAGTTACAGCATTTTTAAAAATATACTGATCATTGTTGTTGTTGTTGTTGCTTTTTTTGTTGTAGTAACCTCAATTTGGTTTTCGGTGAATATTGCGGGTTTTAAGAGTCCTTGGCGGCCTCGGTAGCCGAGTGGTTAGCATTGCGTATTGACATTCGGAAGGCTCGGGCTCATATCTCGGGGCCACCAACCTCCAAAAATTATAGAAAATTAATTTAAATAAAAAATTAAGCTAAATTTTCTAATTGCGCTCGCCCCTCGGCAGGGAATGTCAATCCCCCGGAGTGTAATTCTGACATGAAAAAACCATCAGCCGTTTGGAGGCGGCTTAGTATTGTATAAACTGTAGGTCCCTCCATTTATTGGAAATAACATCAAGATGCTTAACCGCAGATTGCAGGAAGAGGTCGGCCGAAAACTCGCTTCAGTGGTTACATAGTGCTAATTATCTATATAAGAGTCCTTGGCCGATTAAAAATTCGTTTCGTTCCGCTTCTTACGTCAGTGATGTCTTACCGCGGGTAAATTCTTGAACCTCTAACCAACAGGAATGAGTTATTGTTCCTCTCCCTTAGTGGCGTAGGCACCGCTCACACGATCATAGTGGAGTTAACAACTGCCCACCATTCATTTCTTCTTTACGCTGTTGAGAGCCAGTTGGAAATATCACATACCTCTTTCCAATGGAGTGGAGGTATCCTATTGCTCTGCTTCCACCGGAGGGTACTGCATCGAATACTTTTAAAGCTAGTATTCTTATCCAATCGAACCAAATGACCTAGCCAGTGCAGCCGCATATCTCATACGAGTAAAGCTCATCATTCCATCGGCTGCGGTATTCGTCGTTCTCAACTCGTAGGGGACCATAAATCGTTCGCACTACTTTTCTCTGGAAGACTTACAGAACCGCCCCGTGTAAGTAACTCAATGCACGAAATGAGTGACTCATAGAGTTTGGCCTTCGTTCGTCGGGAGAGGACATTACTTTTCAATTGCCTACTCACTCCGAAGTAGCTAGAAGTAATTTTGAGTCTGATTTCAGTGCTGAAGTTATTATTGTTGGTCCCTAGATAGACGAAATTATCTACGACTTCAAAATTATGACTGTGAACAGTGACGTGGGAGCCAAATCGCCAATGCGATGACTGTTTTTTTGATGACAGCAGATATTTCGTCTTACCCTCGTTCACTACCAGACCCATTCGCTTCGCTTCTTCATCAAACCTGGGGAAAGCAGAACTTGCGACGCGGTTGCTGAGGCCAATAATGTCAATATCATCAGCGTACGCCAGCAGCTGTACACTCTTGTAGAAGATTTTACCTTCTCTATTCAGTTCTGCAGTTCGTATTATTAAACTTCAGCATCAAATTGAAGAAATCACACTACAGAGAGTAACCCTGTCTGAAACGTCGTCTGGTATCAAAAGCCTCCCAGAGGTTTTTCACGATCCTAATGAGTTTTTGGCGTTGCCTAGTTGAGCTAAGTTTTGCGGGAATAAGGTATTCAGAGATACTTTTTCTCGTATAGTGAAAGGCTGCTTTAAAATAGACAAAAAGTTGGGGTGTGTCGATTCTCTTTTTTAGAGGTTTTTTCAAAAGTTGGCTCATAGTGAATATCTGGTCAGTGGTTGACTCACCAGGTGTAAAGCCACACTGATGAGGTCCAGTCAGATTGCTGACAGTTTTCTTTAATCCTTCACAGTCAGGGTTATTGGCACATTTTGCAAAGAAGCTTCAGTTGGGGTTCGGTTTCGCCTTCTCCGTATTTTATATTGCCACTGCCTTTCTGCATGATAAGTGTTCATTCCTTAAATTCAGTATAATGTTGGTATCAGTCACTTAACCGAACTGTCACATCGATTTTACTTAGGCCTAAATAAGACGCATTGTGACGCATTTCCGCTCTCTAATCAACCTTATTATATCCATGCCCTTGACGTCGGCTATCTTAAAAAGACCATACAGCGGTAGGACTCCAAATACTGAAACCTTCCAGTGGTTAAAAGCAGGACAGTCGAATAAAAGATGTGTGATTATTTTCTTCTCCACATTATATTTTCATATTCAGTAGGCCCCTCTGCATATTGTCGTATCACAGAGCAGTCTTTGCGTTGTTCATGTCTCCTCTTTTTAAAGCGACTGCAACAGCTGCGTGGTTAGCATTGCGCAGAAATAATCTAATTACCAAGGTTCGAGTTCTGGTCTGAGCAGTATCCAAAACTTAAAAAAAAATTAACTTTCCGCTCCTCGGCAGGAAATGTCAAGCCCTTCGGGTGTAATTCGGACGTGCTCCTCATTGAAAACCGTCGACCGTTCAAAGGTGGCTTAGTATAAGCTGAAAGTCCCTTCATTTCTCTTCAAAGAAGAGGTTAAAAACGTTGCTGTGGGGACATACAAATGCTAAGCTAGACAGTCCAAGAGTTATTCAATATAAGGAATAGATGATACTTAGCTTTGTTGGAAGAGTAAGAAGTCAAATTTTTATTCTCCACATAGAAGGCTTTTGAAGTCGAAGATTTCCTTAGCTACCGCTCTTGCGGAAGTATCTCTGCTGTAGCCACCATATATATGTATATATAATAGGCGCTTTGTAACCGCTGATGTGATTTATCGGCCGAGCTTCTCCTCCAATTTGTGGTTTTGCATATTGATGTTTTTCCGAAAAATGGAGGGACCTACAGTTTATACTAACGCGCCTCTGAACGGAGGAGCTTTTTTTCATATCAAGAATACACTCGGAGGAGATGACATTCCCTACCGAGGGGTGACCACAATCAGAAAATTTAAATAAATTTTTATTTAAATTAATTTTGAATAACTTTTGGATGTGGGCGGCACCGGGATATGATCCCGACATAGCTTTTTTCGAAGGCTCATTTGAAACAGAGAAGAAGTGGGATCCTTAGCACTTTTGATATTTTAAAATATTCTCAGAATTCGAGCCTTTTAGCATCGATCGAAACGGTTAGAGAAATAGCGACGTCTCGGAGAAGGTTTCAAAACCGGAGCACACTCAAGGGTGCTACAAAAAAGAACTGGCGACTGAGAACTAGAGTAGGACGAGTTTATGGCCTCCTAATTTGCAACAAAAAAAGAAACACCCGCAGATTGCGAACGATGGCCATGATGAAGACCTAAGAGCAGTTGTCGCCTGAGAAACAATAAGTAGGATAAGCCATCGGTCTTATTTATGACACGTCCTCTGCTCCGCACTTATCGATGCTGCTGACATACCTGTGAAGCATAACCAAATGAGAACCGCAGAACGTAAATTTAACCTCGTCCAAGTGGAGGTAAGCCTCTATTCATCTCCCGATGGCTCCACTAGTTTAATATAAGAAGACCTCCGAGTTTAACTTAGTCTCCATTCGAGTGCGTCCTGCCAAAACCATAGGAAGAACTCCCTTAGGGTATTTGACTGGTTGGGATTCAAAAAAAAAATTATTTCAAATTCAGAAACAACTTCAATGTTCAATGATAATTTTTATTTTTTGAGTAGCTTACGAATTATGAAAGCTTAAAGTTAGGGTGGCATAACAGGCAAATATGTATTTATGGATGACTGTGTTTGCAGAAGAGATTCTTAAAGACGCTTAATTGCGTTTGTATCACATAAGAGCTCGCTATAGATTTGCTCATTGATGTTGGGATTCTTCAGCTCAGTTACAAGTTCGGTGGCGTCGTCCTAAGGTAGAAGAGAAAGATAATATTATACAATAAATCGCCTGCAATTAAGCTGAGAGAGAGAGAGAGGGGGGGAGAGACAGAGAGAGAGCGCGAAAAACTTACATCAAACAACACATTCTTGGCGTCCTTTGCATAGGCGCCGAAAAGTGTAAAGACATCGGCGAGCTTGCCCGCTTTGCCAAACTTGGTTGAGAGTGAAACAAACAAATGTTTGACAGTCTCCTGTTCAACTGGAGTCATGCTCTCACGTATGAATACTGCTTTGGGCAGGTCAACCTCCAAATTGCAGTTATGGTACTCCGTCACAGGCTTGACTTCCATAGAGGAGCAGACGAGCTGTTTGTTCTTGTGCTGTTCCAGCTCACTTGAGTGGACAATTTGGAGATTCTTTTCCGTGGACGGTGTAGTCTGACAAGGACTAATATTTCGCCATTTGTTCAAGAAGGTGGCTGCTAGGCTGGCGCGTTCATTCTGGGCATCATAGTTGCTGATGGTAGTAAAAAAGAAGAATTAGATTGGAATTAAGAGAAAATCCTGTCCACTCACATTGGCAACTTTTGCAGATCCTTGCTAGCGCTCGGTTCGACCACAGCCACATAGAGGTTATCTGGTCCGTAGCTTTCATATACAATCGGTTTCAGCTTCTCAGCGCGTGCCTCCTTGTAGTTCCTACCATGTACGGTCACAAAGTCGGCCTTTTGCTCCTTAACCGCGAGCAGGCAGTCACTCTCCTGCACACACTCCAGCTCTGGGCGTATCTCACGAGAGTAAGCAGCACGGCGCATCGTATCGCACTTGGCCAACTCAATGTCTGTCTGCACGCACAGACGCATCTTGCGTATGGCACTGCCATCACGTTCGATGACATCCTTGTAGCCGGCACGTTCGAGATAAGCTTTTGGTTCGACTGCGGTGGGTTTGCTGTGATACACCGCATCCTCATTGATCAGCAAATGTTGTGCGGCCACCTTATTTTCAGCGTGTAGACCATTTTCGAAGAATTTCTCTAGACGATCTTGTAAGTTATGCAACTTTTGTTCGCCGTTCACCGAATCAGCATTGGAGATATAACCAGTCCAAGGACGTTGAGCCCAAGAGCAAGCGGGACCGGTGACTGGGCGGCGACTGCCATCCTCACAGAGATATTCGAACTCCGAGGGGTCACCTTCGGCGGTGGAGCCGGGTGCGAGCTGTTGGAAAAAAAGGCAGATTCTAGAGAAAAACATCCTGACACATACGATGTCCACCACTTACGCCAAAGTATTTCCTGATGTATTGCACCTTGGTAAAGGCAACCTCACCCTTACCCTTGTCCAAACAGCGTATAGCGCCATCATAGCCAGACAGCTTGTCGGGGTAATCACATTGCTCGGGCTTCTCGCAGAGTGCGCACAAATTCGAGTATTTTTTCTCTGCACAGTGGAGAGGGGGTAAAAGAGAGAGAGAGAGAGAGAGAGAGGGAGGGAGCAAAAATTAGACTTAAAACTCTCTTTTAACTCACTTACACACAATCTTAACTTACTCAGTAGACGATCAGTTTCAGGGTATGGTGAGTACGTGCCAACCAAGCACGATTGTGTGAAGAACTCAGATAGTGCCTTCAGTTCACGTTCAGTGGCGGTGAAGTCGGGATCCAGCGAAACTTTAAGAATCTGTGTATTCTTCAATTTAGTGATGGGAATCTAAAAGAGAGGCAGAGAGAGCAAAAAATGTTCCATTAATGCGCTGCTTATTTAACTTGAAGCAAACATGTGATTTCATAAATTAAGCTCCCCGTCCAGAAACCAGATTTACGTTTCTTAGAAAATATATTCTGCGCACGAACCGGTAATTTAATTTTAAAGTAGCTTAACAGCTCTAATAACTACTCATTAGTTGACGGACGTACATATGTAGGTACATACTTATGTATCGCACATTGGCTGACTATTATGGTAATTAAATGCAGTTTAGCGAGATTAAAGCGACTGTGAACTGTGGAATATTTCTGCGCTTAGAATTCATGAAATTAGTTAGTGGCATGCCAAATTGTGCATTTATAGACGTATACATTTACATAAATACGCACTTGTTTATGTACGTGTATATGCATATTCGTATGTACATATGTATAGCATATGGCAATCAGAATTTTTCAAACTAAAATACTTTTCACTTGAAATTAACCATTTATGCACGTAACGAAGATTTTTCACAATTAAATTTATTTTGCTAATAATCCGCTTAATTGCACATATGTTTAATTGCATTATGCTTAATTGTGCAACATTTCGTTTTGCTCTGTTTTAAATAGAAATGTAAGACATTAAAAATCTAGATCTGTTTCGTGTTAGTCCGCTTTAATGCATTCTTGCTTTATTGCATTTAACTTAAGTGCGCAAACATTCCATTTTGCTCCATTTTAAATAGTAACGAAGATTTTACACAATTAAATTTATTTGCGTTATGCTTTATTGCGTAACATTTCATTTTACTCTGTTTTAAATAGAATTATGAGGCATTAAAAATCTACATTATTCCGCTTAAATGCATTCCTGTTTAATGCACTTAACTTAAATGCGCAAACATTTCATTTTGCTGTGTTTTAAATAAATATATAAGACATTAAAAATTTAGATTTCTTCCGTATAAATCCGTTTAAATGCATTACTGCTTTATTGCATTTAACTTAAGTGCGCAAACATTTAATTTTGCTCTGTTTTAAATAGAAATATAGCACAAATCTGCTTAAATGCATTCCTGCTTTATTGCATTTAACTTAAGTGCGCAAACATTTCCCTTCGCTCCATTTTAAATAGTAATAAATATAAGACATTAAAAATCTAAATTATTCCGCTTAAATGCATTCATGCTTTATTGCACTTAACTTAAGTGCGCAAACATTTCCCTTTGCTCCATTTTAAATAGAAATAAATATAAGACAATAAAAGTCTAGATTTGTTTCGTAATAATCCGCTTAAATGCATTCCTGCTTTATTGCAGTTCAGTATATTTTACATATGTACATATGTGTTTGAAGTTTATTATTACTTTACTGCACATATTTCGGGAATTCTCAATACACATAATATTTTTCTTCAACTTCTTCAACAACCGGTCTCCGAAATTTTCCAAAATTTTTATGCTATAAATTTTTTTTATAATAAATTATTATGTCAATAAATGCATTTATAAAAAAATATCTCACTGGTTACGCGATAAATACGCAATCAAATTATTATTCAGAACTTTCTTTCTTGGTTTATGAAATAAAAAAATAAATTTTTAAGAGTAATTGCACATGGCATAATTGCCTCTATGTTTAAATGCCTCACTACTTATTTTTCTTTGTTACCTGCTGAAATTTACATATTTTAGACTATGCTTTCGGCGTTATTATAATTTTTTATTTTTTTTTTTTGGATTGAATGGCTTAATTGCATTTTATTAATGCCTTTTTGCTAAAGAAGTTTTGTACTTTAAGATACCTGAGTTTTCTTATCCAACTTTTTCCAATGTTTCCTTCAATAAAAAATAAAATATTTTATCGCATAATTGCACTTTGTTTAATTGTCTTTGTGTTTAAATGCCTCACAGTTCATTTTGCCTTTTTACCCGATAAAATCTATTTTGAACTATACTTTTTTGGCTTGGAATGCCTTTACGCCGAGTAAATTTTGTACTTTTAAACCTTATTGCAATTCGAAAAAGTAAAATGTTTTTACACATGACTTAATTGCATGAATGTATGTTTAAATTCCCCGCGACTTATTTCGGTTTATTGCCTGATGAAAGTTATTTTGAACTATATTTACTACTTTTTCGGTGGGGTTTTAGTTGGAGTGGCTTAATTGCATTGTATAAATGCCTTTATGCCAAACAAATTTTGTGCTTTAAAATATTGCCACTGTACACTAAAACAAATTTATCGGGTGTTTTTAAGTATTTGAAGGTAATAAATATTTTCCCACTTAATTGCACTTTGCTTAATTGCATATAAATTTAAATGCCTCACCATATATTTTGTTTATTATCTTTTTACTGCTACTTTAAACTTTATTTTCGTCGCTTTTTATTTTACTTCACAACTGATGGTTTAATTGCATTTCATATTTCCACTGATGGCTTAATTGTATTTCCTATTTCCACAGTGTTTATTCGCATTTTTCACATTATTTCTCTTTCAACCGAATAATGCTTGAATCACTTTAAACCATGAAGGCTTAAAGCAAAAAATTTTTTCTGCAAAAATTTTACCACAAATAACTCACCTTATAGCCCACGTTACGTCCGAAGCCCGTGTGGCATGATTTCTTGCCGCGCAACTCCTTCAAGCTGTTAATATTCGAGTTTTTCTTTACCAAAATAATGCCCTCATAACGAAACTCGGCTGTAAGAGAAACAGAATTTCTTGTTGTTGTATTTACATTACACTCACTGCACATAAGTATTTTTTATTTTTATTTTAATTCTTTTTTTTTTTTAACTTTTTCGACTCTTCATTAAAAACACTCAACTCACCATCCTTATCCTGTTTGGTGCGTATTTCCGAGATGACACGATAGTCCTGATTCTTCGTATGATACGCCACATACATATCCTCCGGTTCACTGGCGAGCACATCGGCTTTACGTTGATTGATTTTATCCAAGCAATCGATGCGATCACGTCCAGCAATGCATTCCATTTGTATGCCAGCCTCTGAGGGATCCTTCAACAGATCCAAACAGTCTTTGTAGAATTGTTGTGGCACGCACATGCGATCTACAGAGATTTTGACGAAAGAAAAAACATTTCTTAGCATAAAATGTATTTTAGAAAATAATTTTGTATTTAATATTTTTTTTTTTCTTTTTTTGCTTACAAATTTGCTCATCAGCTTGCACCGAAGCCAAAGCAGCCACGCCCAATAAGGCTGCAGCCAAGTATATAGTCGTCGTATAACCCATGTTTCGCACGTTCTTCTCCAGTCGCAGCTTGTACTCAACTGTTCGAGTGCACAGCCAGCCAGTTTCTTTTTATAGCCGAACCGGCGTCTCAATAGTTTCGACGCAGCAGCAGGGTGGGCGAGTCGCCTCAGCCAAACCAAGCCAAGCCAAGTCAGCTGGTAGGCATACCGTGCACAGGCCTTCAGTGCGGGATTCACCAATTGATAATTGTATATATGTACATATGTATGTTTGTATGTTTTGCTGCAGTGATTTTTATTCTATTTTTGCATTGCTTTTGGTTTGTTGTTCGCTAGATTAGCTTGGGGTTTGACTCGGCTTTGATTACAATGTTTTTTTTCTGTTTTTTTTTTTGTTGCTCTTTCTAGAATCTGTTGATATTTTTGCTTGTTCTTATTTATTGCTTAATAAGCAATTATATTTACATATGTATAATGTGTGTGTGTGTGCGTGTGTGTGTGTAAAACCGCAAATGGTCATCACGGTTCGTGACATCGTCACAGATAAGTTCCTACCTCCGCCGGTGCAATGATCGTTTGCCCAAAGCTGAGACTACTATTCTCCTCTGCTTGCATCTCTAGTATATTTAAATATCGAAATTATTTATTTTGTTGTTATTACATTTATGCAATGAATGTCATTATCAATAAAGCTTTCAGCTCAGCGCATACGGTGAGACACCTTTCAGTGCTGAAAAACCGGCTTTTTGTCTATTTTTCCTATTTATTCGCTTTAAATACGAGTATATATACTTATGTATGTACTTACATGCATATATACTTATATATATATATATATATAAATATAGTTTTAGTTTTAAAAAATATTTAAATAAAAATCAGAACAAATAATGACTTACGTTCCAATGCTCATATACATATATACCTACATATGTACAAATACATATTCATATAAATGTACCGTGGCTCACAGCCAAAGTGATGCAGCTATGTGAGAAATAGTATAATAAGTTTTATTTAAATATTAAATAATTTTTCCAAAAAATATGAATGCCAGTTAATAGCGGGAGATGTACAAGTTTCATTTATGCTCTAAAAATTTTATATTTTATGTAATTTACCTCACAGCGAAAATGATGCAGTCACAAAAAAAATTAATAAATTTAATTTGAAAAAAAAAACTAAAATTTTATGTTAATTATAGGGTTGCCCAAAAAGTAAGTAGTAATTTTTTCAACGGCTTGTGACTCTGTAATTGCATTCTTTCTTTTGTCAGTTATCAGCTGTTACTTTTAGCTTGCTTTAGAAAAAAAGTGTGCGAAATTTTGTTTACATTTGTTTGTTTGGCGTCGATTTTAATATGGAGCCCACAAAGGAGCATTTTCGTCATATTGTACTTTATTATTTCCGTAAAGGAAAAAACGCGGAGCAGGTTGCTAAGAAGTTACGCAATGAATTCGATCCGTTTTTAAAACGAATCATAACTGGTGATGAAAAATGGATTGTTTACAACAACGTTAGTCGAAAACGATCATGGTCCAAGCATGGTGAACGAGCTCAAACCACTTCAAAGGCTGATATCCACCAAAAGAAGGTTGTGCTGTCTGTTTGGTGGGATTGGAAGGGTGTCGTATATTTTGAGCTGCTTCCAAGGAACCAAGCGACTAATTTGGATGTTTACTGTCAACAATTGGACAAATTAAATATAGCTATCAAGGAGAAGCGGCCAGAATTGGTCAATCGTAAAGGTGTCATATTCCACCAGGACAACGCTAGACTGCACACATCTTTGGTCACTCGCCAAAAACTGGGGGAGCTTGGCTGGGAACTTTTGATGCATCCACCATATAACCCTGACCTTGCACCATCAGACTACCATTTATTTCCATCTTTGCAGAACTCCTTAAATGGTAAAACTTTCGGCAATGATGAGGCTATAAAATCGCACTTGGTTCAGTTTTTTGCAGATAAAGGCCAGAAGTTCTATGAGCGTGGAATACTAAATTTGCCAGGAGGATGGCAAAAGGTTATCGAACAAAATGGCAATTATATATTTGATTAAAATTCATTCTAAGTTTTATTAATTCTTTTAAAAAATCCGCAATTACTTTTTGGGCAACCCAATAATATTTAGTAAGATACCACTTGCTGTCTACGACTGCTTGCATACGTTTGGGCATGGTTTCCACTAACTTCTTCGTGTAGCCATGACCAATATTGTTCCATTCTGTTTGTAGGGCCTTTTTTAAGTCGGCTCGATTTCGAATCTCATATTTTCGAAACTATCCGCACAAAACTTACCACAGATTTTCAATCACATTCAAATCTGTACACTGCGCTGGGGTTTGTACTATCTGCGGACAGTTCCAAATAAGCCAACTTTGCACAACGCCTGTTTTATGTTTCGGATCAAAATCTTTATAGCACCGAACTATGTCACGAATATTCAATTTTGAGGCAATTTCTTATCAAAATGTCCAAATGCACAGTATTATCCATCGGTCTATTGATGAAATCCAACTCCAGAAGACGTCATGCACCCCTCTACCATTACATGCTCTCCACCATGTTTTACAGTGCTACGTAAATTTTGCGTTTGTAACGCTGCATTTGGTTTTCTCCATACATAGCGCTTTCCATCTGATCTAAACTGGTTGAATTTACTTTCGTCTGCGAAAATTACGGTGTCCCAGAAACTTTCATCTTTATATAAATACTTCTTTACAAACTTCAGCCTCGCACTTTGATTTTTAGTACTGACATACACGGTGTGTCCTAAAAATAACCGAACTTTAAGTTCAAATAGTTTATACGTGGTTTACACGACTTAAAAATGGTCGTGAGGACTTAAATGACGACCCTAGAGCAGGACGTCCAGAAACTAGTAATCGTGCTGAATTGGTGGAAAAAGTCCGTGAAATCATTGGTATCGATGCAAATTTTACTACGAGAATTTTGGCTGAGGAATTGAATAGGAGTAAAAACACTATTTGGAGAATTTTAATTGAAGATTTGGGGAAAAGAAAGGTCTGTGCGCGATTTGTTCAACATGAATTGAATTACGAACAAAAAATCGCTCGAATTTTTAATGAAAAAAGGGATTTCTCTCATCGACCATCCTCGGTATTTGCCTGATCTATCACCATGTGACTATTTTTTATTTCCAAAACTGAAAACCAAGATGAAGCGAGCATTTTATGATGATATCTCAGCCATTCAAGCAGCCGTAACCGAGTTACTGAAGAACATTTCTATGAATGACATAAAAAAATCTATGCATGCGCTGATTGATCGTTCCAAACGTTGTGCTGAGTCAAATGGAACCTATTTTGAATAAATAATAACTTTCAAAGATAATATAATGTATATTTTATTTTATATCCAAAAAGTTCGGTTATTTTTGGGACACACCGTGTATGGTTTATTTTGAGCTGTGCGGCCATTGAAATACGCTTTTCTGAGCATTCTTCATATGGTTTCTGAGTTACAGCTTTTTTCAAGTTATTTTAGTACTTCTTTACCTAGAGCTGGAGCACTAAAGTGGGGGTTTTCGGTGGTATTTTGCGACAATCCATCGGGAATCACTTTCGTTAGATATTTTATTATGAGCCGTTTGAGTTTTTTTTTAAACTCGATCTTCCCTAACATAGCGTTCAATGATATGCTGAACAGTTCCTTGGTTCAACTTTACAGCTTCCCTGATTTTACGCTGACTTTTGCCATCTTTATAATGTTTTAGGATGCATTCGCGCCCTTCATAACTTGATTGGAGACCCATTTCGATCTACACTCAACCAATGTTAATACAAAAATGTCAAAATTATCTCATATTACACCAGGTTTGCTCGCGATTATAGCGGTATTTATTTTGCATTCAAAAATCGTCGACAAGACGCCGCCACTAACGGTAAATATGTGCGCATCTCTTTCGCTGTGAGGTACAATTTAATGCTGTGGTTTGTTTTTGTTGTTAATTACATAAAATATATATAATTTAATATATTTTAAAGCATAAATGAAATGTTTATATTTGCCGCTATTAACTGGCATTCATATTTTTTGGAAATTTTTTTTTCAATATTTAAATACTATTTCTCACATAGCTGCATCACTTTGGCTGTGAGCCACTGTATGTGTGATGGTATGTGTCAATGTGACTGTGAATATTTTTTATAGAAAAATATTCAAACTTGTTTTGCACCTAGAAATGGGTGTGCATTTGTTTACAAAACACCTTTAGCTACAATACAATGTATTTAATGGAAATATTTGTTGTTATTTTGCCTTTTTTTTTGTGTTGCCTTTTTCACCGGCCGGCATTGCTGGTAATCTCGTAATAAATGATCCGGCTGCAGTGTATTGTTGTGCAGCAGGCATTATAATGGTTTCAACTGTTGCTGCATCTAGTAAAGAATTGAACTTTATTGTTGTTGTAGCAGCAATAAAATTTCCGATATGAAGAGACCCCACTGCTTTTGAAGGAGCCACAGTCAACGATGCAGAAGGACTCTAGTGTTGATCGGCATTAATTTAAAGATTTATTTCATTTAAGTTAGCCAGCCTCAGTTCAGCCAAAAGCGTTGGAAAATACGGAGAACTGAAAGTTAATTGTACCGATATTGCTAAGCTTCGTTCGAAGGTAAACTACTCTCGCTGCTTCATTACACAAAACTCTAACTACAACCAGCAAAACCCTAAGCTACCCACTGCACCAGAAAAGGAAGGAGTACGGGAAATAATAAACAATTAGCAAGCCAACAGCCTACACTCCGCACGGGACAACGACGGGACATGAAAGAAGAGGCGCAACAAAATTCTGTAGAAACATTGTTTCCGCCGATTGGGCAAAGAAGACTGTCGAGCTACATTGCACGGGCATATCAGATAGAATTAACCTCACAGTTTTCATTCAGTATCATATAATAGCAGAGCTAGACAGGACGGATTATCAATTTAACTATGAACGCCAACAGCCAGAGAGTCCGGCTCCCGTGCATGACGGAATCGGAATCCAATAACCGCACAAACCCAACGAATAGTTTGGGCACTTCATGAGAACCGCGTAAAATTGCCAGAAATAAAGTCTGTACAA